AGCAGAATGTGAACCAAAATGCACCATTTTTATCTAAGTGAAGCAAATTTTGAGTAACTTATTTGTATTTTTGGATTGTTTTCTTTGTATAAAACATATAGTTCCTTTAAATTACACAAAAGCAGTTTTTTTTGTTTATGGACGTTCTTTTGAATGTTAACATAATCTTTTTTTCCAGGTATAGTTCTACACAAATCACTTGAGTCATAAAACAGTTTAACAGAACTTTCTGTTTCTTTGTGTAAGACTTTACCTTTATATAACCGAGAGATATCTAACAACCCTTTTTTATTAAAAATTTGTCTAGCCATCTTTGCTTGGTATTCTGTAACTGCAAAATTATTTTGTACTTCCAATATTGACCAATTTGGGGTGCCAGTGCTAGAAGTTAAGCATTAGTCCTTTTGTCAGAATATATAATTTTTTCCTTTTTCTAAGCTCATAATTTCATCAAAGTTTTCAACCTTCTTTTTCATATTATTTGTTTTATAACACAGTTTTGAGGGAGCATTGACTTGACTTTAAGTTTTTCTAGTAACGTTACTTACCATTTCATCATTAAGCTGATCTTAAGATAAATTACTTAGTATGAATGTATTTCATAAAAAAAAGAGAATTTTTATTTCCTACTTAATTTTCAGTTAAAAAAAAAAGTTTTTAATATAGAAATAGTTCAAACTTTTTCAGAATCCTTATTGTATAATGTTTTACACTGATAGATATTGTTCATTTTTTTTAATAGATATATCTATATATATACAATCTATATATATCAAATTGTTAATTTGTTTAAATTTTGAAAACAAATGTACTTCAATTTCACACTTAGTCAGTTTTTATATAAAAACAAAACAGGATGTTTTTTTCAGTTGTTAAGATCAAATAAGTTAGTTATCATGTAATTAAGACTTTCTTAAATGTAACAAAATTGTTTTGTGTTTTTCTTCTAAGGAGTCTATAAACTAAACTTAATATTTTACAGAATTCTATTTGCAAGTTTTTTTTAAATGATTTATTGAAAATTTGATATATCTTTGAAATTAAAGTTCTATATTTTTCAGTTTTTTTTCCAGTTAGACTATTTGCGCCTAGTAAGATTATAAACAGCTGAAAAGATTAACAGCAAAAAAAAAAAAAAAATTTGACGAGGGTGTTTTGAGATATTAGGCCCCAAAGTTGGTATATAGAAACTAGTTGTTTTGTTAATTTTTAAGCAAGTTCTTTTGGTATTTCACCATTTTAATGATATGAGATTGGTGAACAGTTCTTAGCAAACAATTCAACCTTGTCTTTAGGTGAGGTAACAAAATCTGAACCATGCAAAAGATGAGGAATAACAATTTTTTTCTTCCTGCAGACACTGTTAAAGATTCTCCAGAAGTCTTTTAAACCTAATTTGATGAAAAACAAGAATTTGTGATTTGAGATTTGAGCTGTCTTGGGCATTAGAGAAAACCTTTTTACAATGGTTTTAGAAATAGGAAACAGACATTTGTTTAATAGTTGTGAAAGTGATGGCTATGATTGGAAATTGCAACAGCACATTAAGAGGAAAACCATGGAGAAGAGTAAGGCTTGACTTAGAATTGCTGAGAGGTAATAAAAGATTCCATGCCAGTCTGAATCTAAGAAGTTAAATAAGAAGCACATTTGTCCACAGGAAGACGAAAATTTCTACCCAAGAGCCATCATGAAGAAAGTTATGGAAAGAGTCCCAGCCAGCTTTTAGGTAGTTGTAAGAGGTATGATAATAGGGGGATACTGATGATGAAGAAGAATGAAATAATAGTTTCAAACCCTGATCAGAAGTGCCAAAGAGATGAAAAGTGGAGACAGTGCTAGGATCAGAGATGAAAAGTGGAGAGACTGAGCTAGGATCAGAGAATGATTTGAATTGTTTGGAAAGCAAGTTGGAATATTGAGTATTTGTGTTAGAGATTGACAAAGGCAAAAGTTGTGGGCTTTAACACCTGCAGAGTCAATAGCACTAGAAGCAAGCTATTCAGTGTGATGAGCATTAAAGTCACCAACAACAACGATATTGGCTGAAGGATAAAGAAAAAGGGCTTGGTCGATTTGATCAGAATTAACATAAAAAAGAGTGCAGTCTTGGGATGAAGGAGAGCGATATAGAACAAGATAGTAGAGATAATAGAGTGAAGTGAAGTTACTTCAAAGACCATGAGTATTAGTAAAAGATAGATTTAGAAAATTTAGTGATGATAATGATTAGTCAGGTTTTATAGTTTTGGTACTTAAGTCATTTAGAATATAATTTAGTACACTAAATAATAGTCCAAGCAATTGCCTTATTATTTTTTATAAACTCTAAGCCATAACAAAGGGCTACAAATGTGGCTTCAACAATGCACACCAAAAGTATGAGCAGGGACACTATGGACTTGTTAAAGAATTCAATTCAAAGCACAGATAGTACTCAGTACACTAAATAATAGTCCAAGCAATTGCCTTATTATTTTTAAGAAAACCCTACGCCGTAACAAAGGGTTACAAATGTGGCTTCAACAATGCACACCAAAAGTATGAGCAGGGATGCTATCCATGCACAACATGGTACTGTTAGTACTCTGATATTTTACAGCTGTTGATGGAATCAGCCTCTCTAAGAGCTACCACAGAGTTTGGGAAACCTGACTACCAACAGGCCTCAGAACCATAAAACAGAATTTTAGAGCTGTACCCTCATTTGGAGTTAATAAAATGAGTTGTCTAGTCATAAAAACAGAGACACAAGCAAAACCCATGCATGGAGTCAAGAAGATTCACCATTCAACATCCTAAACTGGAAACAATGTGTTATAAATACATCTACGCCAGCCTAATAGATAAAGAAGGAGTACAAAGCTGGTCAACAGATAGAATCTCTTTACCCCTTCAGTCTTTATTTAAGAGGCCTTCTAGTATTTTTGTCAAGACATTATCTCTAGCCTTTACTCAACTAAGAGCCCCAATCCAAGGGGTGTGTTAAGTCAGAGTTTGCATCTCCTAGCCTTTCCTCAAAAAAGTGTATCCTACAAGGCAGCAGTATATAAAACAAGTTGTACTGGGTTACTTGTTCTGCAACCAGATGCACCTTTTTTTGAGCTTGAAATGCACTCAGGAATTCAAAATCTTTGTGCTTCTTCTTTTTGGTACAAAGTCTGTTAGTTTCTATTTTCACCTTGGCATCTTGTTGTTCTATGAAAAAGTACTGTTTTAACTCTGCACTAAAGATCTTTTTTTTTTCTTTATTTTTGATTTATTTGTACCCTTTCTTTTTCTGCAGTGTCCTATAGTTATTATACAGATCAATAATTTTTGCTTTTATCTTGTCTTTATGTTGTATTTCAATGCCGGTTTCAGTCCACTGCTGCTGAACTTTAATCACAACTTTGTCTGGTACAGCACCATTACAACTGTTGTGCTTCTTTAGTCTGTTTTTCAAATAAAAAAATAAGCAAATAATATCTCTTTTTGTGGAGACTCTACAAGCTGGTAATTCCAATATGGGCTTTTCTATCAGCCAGATATCATCATTCTTCCTCAGAGTCATGGCACAGTTTTGCACACTGATTTATTTCTGTTATTATTTAGTTATCAAACACACAATACTATCTAGTGAATTTAAATTTATGACATTTTTAATCACATAAACACCAACAGGAATTCAGCCGTTTTGCCACATGATACTAATTGATTACCATTGTGCATAAAACTTTTCCAATACTACCATAATTGCGTGTTTTATTACAATATCACATTCTGGCATGCTGGTGGAAATGCTTACAATATTTAAACTTAATCAAAATTTTACCCAATATATTTGCATGCATAAACAAATAAGAAAAATTACAGGGAGTAGTTTTTTACAAGTTTTATTTTTTTCCATAACTTCTTGAGGACCAAAATATCATAGATGAATTTTTTTCTGGGAATTCCCGGAATTCCGGAAATTCACATAAAACACCTTTAATTTTTCCAGGAATTTCCAGATGTTTTTTGATATTAATTTAAAAAAAATAATATAATTTTACATAAAATTTTACATACGACAACTTTTGCATTTAAACAAATATGTTTTCTATAATTAAAATTTTCACAAGATCGATTTTTGTAACAATTTTTATTCTTCATTTTTTTTGCTTTTTAATTCATTCAAATTTTTTGGAATATTAGAAATTCCTTTTTGTAAAAAATTAATATAAATTTCGTTTTAAAATAATCTAAATTCCGTTTGTCAGTTAAATGCTATCAATTTTTAATAAAACAATTTTCTGGGATTTTCCGGGATTATCAAATAAAAAAAATTTCTGGCATTTTCATAAAGTCAAATACTCATCTATGAAATATATATATATATATATATATATATATATATATATATATATATATATATATATATATATATATATATATATATATATATATATATATATATATATATATATATATATATATATTCTCAATCCATATCTAAGGATGCAATTTCATAATATTTGTGCCCTTAATGTAAAAATATTTTTTTATTTTTTAAAAAAAGGAAGAAAAAAAAAAAATAAAGAAAAATAAAGAATGATGCCCTATGCCAAACCCTCAGTCAATGTAGCAGCTCTCCTTTGCTGCAGCAGGCAAGCCCCTGCAACTTCCTGTTTTTGTATGATGTCATCTTTGTATGTCTAATGCTGCATTTATATATATACACATAAATATATCCCTTAGAATTAAAGTCGGAATTCGACAATGCCAACCTAATTGCCAACCTTAAAGTATTTGAAGTTAGCAAAAAATTGCTTACCTTGTTTCTATATTTTATGGTAACCCCTTTGTGTCAATTTTGACCTCTAACAATTTAAGGTCGGCAATTTATTTCTGACCTCAGTTTTTCTAATTCTGAGGGCTTTATATACAAATATATATATTTGTCTATACATACGTATATATTCTTTTATGTGGCTATTATTATAAAATGTGTTGTTAAACAGTATGATTGTTTTTATCAGATTTGCAAAATGAGGATAATGTCAATGAAAAAGTGATTGCACCAGAGGTTGTTTCAAGTTATGATAGAGAATCACTCATTAAAGAGTACAAAGTAATATTTATGATTTTTTAATGCATTATAAGTTTTAGTTTAATGCATTTGGTGTTTTTAACTTTTAGGTTTCAATACATATGTTTAAATACATCTTGCATTCTATTTCAATGCTACTTTACATCTAGTACTAGTAAATTTTGTTTTTCAATGTACTATTATTTGTATTTTTAATGTTTCAAACCATCTTGTCTTTGTAACATTTATGTTCCAATCCATTTTTTATTTGTAATTTTTATGTTCTGATGCATCTGTTATTTGTAGTTCTTTAGTTTCTATGCATGTTGTTTTTTTAACTTTTAAGTTAACTGTTATATTTTTTAAAAATAATTTTATAAAAAGTAATTTATCAATTCAATAAATAATTCTGTAAAATTAATAACTGTTTATTAATAGGAAATTTCAGAAGAAAGAATTAAACTTCAAAAGGTTAACAACCAATATCAACATAAACTCGCTGAATACTTTCAAAAGAAAAAGGTTTTTTTTTAAATAATTCTTTTAGTTTAATAGATTTTAGTAAGATATAGAGACATCAAATCTGAGTAAGATATAGAGACGTCAAATGATTTGCTGTAAAAACATTAAAACCAGAATCACTTGGGTAAAAACAATAAGTGTTAATGATGATTGATGAACACAACTATATCAATGGTAATAAATTTTTTTTTTTTTTTTTTCGTATAACAAAAATATTGAATAAATGAATCATGTTCCTGGTAATATTATTTAAGCTACTTAGTGTTTTATTTTACCACTTTTGCAATTTTTTTAAGGAGGCTCAATAATTATCAATAAAAAAGTTATTAAATCAATCCAGAATTTAAATAGTTATGATTTTTTTAGAATCTATATTAAATCAAGTTAAGATGAACCTAGTTTTGAGTATACTATAATTTTGGTATACAGTTTACTATATAATGTCAAGTATACTGGAAACTGTAAATTTTTTTTTATGTTTGAGATTGCAACTTTATATATTTTTACACTAAAATCTGGGGCAGAGAGCTCCCCATGAAGCAGAATATATAAAAAATGTCAAAAAAATATTTAAAAAATAATTTCATAATTTTTTAAATAATAAAATTAATAGAATTTTTCTGTATTTTTGCAGTCAGAGCAGGCAGAAATTGTCTATAAAACAAATTTCAACTTGGGGAAGGAAGGGGAGGTTCAAACAAATCTCTACATAATGGATGTTTGTTTGAAACAATAAACTTTTCCTGTTATTGCATGCTTTAATTTTTTTTTTCACACAATTACAATTTTTTTAAATAATGCAATTTATACTTATTTATGTTTTCTGAAGATTTGAAATATTTTTTTAAGATTTTTTGAATTTTACATGGGTACTTAGTTTTCTTGAGGTAGGGGTAGTTTGTTTCCTCAAAAAATCCATTATCCTGCAATCTCCTTTATATTTTTTTAGGCCAAAAACAACTAATGCATTTACTAGATATTAATGTAGGTTTAGAGTTGCATGATGTTACCTCTAAGCAGAAGAACTAGGTAATGCAAAAGATCAAAAGCTAATCCTATTTTGAAAAATATCCTTGAACACAATTTTCAAATTTAACTTTGTTTATAGTGTGTATAAGTTATGCATAGTTTTTTTAACAACCTGCCAAGAAACCTATAAAGCTAAAGGTTCAAGAAAAATAGTGTTTTGTGAGCTTGTATTAACATTTTTAATTGTTTTAACTAAAAGATTCTGAACGTCTCTCTATTTTAAAACGACGCGTCATGGTAAATCTGTTCCACACCCATCTATATCTAAACTCATTTTTAATTAGGTTTTACATCAATGAACTTTAAAAAACAGCAGAAAATGAATCAATTTAAAACTCTTGGCTTTTGGTTAACAATTAATTTACTATACTTTAAAACTGCACTTATTTAATTTTAGCATAGATGTCCTAGTTAGACCCATGACATGTCAAATAAGTTAGCTCTATTGATTTGATTTTATTTTATAGAAATTCTTCTGCAAATAATATATCCATACGAAGTAATAATTTTTAAAAAAATATATAAAATTTTTATTAAGATAAAAAATACTGATACACTTTTTCAAAAATAAGATTATAAAAAATTATTATACTTTATTACTATAAGTGCTGTCTAAACTGGTATGATGATAACTACGTTCCAACTGACTATATTTATACTTAATTTGCTTTCTTTACTTCAATAAATCTTAATTTACGGAAGAAAATATATTGATATTCATAACTATTGGTTAAAAATTAACTATACAAATTTACTTTAATATTGTTTACATAACTAAAGTATCTTTAACAGAAATTACATATTGACTGCGTTTGAAAGTAAATTTGTTATTGTGGTAACTGAACCTGAGGAACAAATACCCTCTTACCAACTTAAATACCTGTTAGAACTTGCCCATCAATATATTCATTTTGTAGAGCACGCACCAATCGGGTTCGAGCTTTAAGATCTAAGTTTCTAAGTAACATTATCATAGCACCAATTTTTAGTTTTAGGCAATGAACAGGCATTCCTGATGGAGTGAGATTGTCTAAAAACTCAACAGGAAAATCATTGATTTCATTAAGATCATCTGTTTCAATAGTATCAGCACTTAAATAAATTTTAACATCACCTTGTAAACCTTCCAAGACTTCTTCATTTATTGCTAATGAATCTACATTAGTGGGTGTCATTAATCATCTTAATGCATAATCATCTTCTTCTGCATCTCCAAAAATCTTGTCTACTATTGATTCATTTTCCCCAAGCAAGCACTGCTCAGGAATTTTAATGTACTCACGAAAGGAACCATCTACTTTTAAAGGTAATGTTTACACCAGGGCTGTGGAGTCGGAGTTGGAGTTGCAAAGTTGCAACAATTTTAGCGGAGTCAGAGTCGCTAAAAAATGTTGCGACTCCGACTCCGATAGTAATATTTCTTGGTATTGCATGTGCATGTACAAAACATTCAATTAACCTTATGTTCATACTAAACCTCAAAGAACGTTGCATAAATTTGTCAAAAAAAAAATTTCAATTTATTGTGCAATATTTTTTAAAGAATTCAAATAATTTTTCAAAATTTTTGCTTTGGAGTTGGAGTCGGAGTTGGAGTCGGAGTCGGAGTTGTAATCAAAAAATTTCAACAACTGGAATCGGAGTTGTTACTTTTTTTTTACGACTTTACACTCCTGGTTTACACCACGTTGAGAGAATTCCTCTTCGTCGACCCGAACCCTTTTATTTTCTGTTAATGAAAATTGCTGAACATATTGCCAATGTTAAGAACATTTTATACAGGTTTCAACAATATCAGCTGGTTCCTCTATTTCTATTTTTTAAATATATCCTCAATTTCTATCCTTCATATATATCCTCTCAACTGGAAGTATTGCCTAAAGTCCCCACCCATAAAAATAACTTTACCACCAAAACAAAACTTGTTTTTGCAAGCATCTTGAAGTAACTTATCAATGGCATTTAAAGCATGTTTGGGTATCATGGATGCCTCATCGAGTAAATAAAGGCTAACTTGCCTTAGGAATTGGCAGTTTATAGAATTTGGAGTTAAATTGTATGCGCTATTTTCCGAAATCGGCACAGGAAGTTTGAATAAACCATGAAGTGTACATCCTTTTTTTAAAAAGAGTTGCAGCTGTTATTGTCCATGCAGCTGTTGCAGTTATAATGTCTACTACTGGTTTCAGCGATTAAATAATTCTATGTAAATATTTTACCACAACCTGCAGCGCCATTCATAGAGAATAATCTAGGCTGTTTATTTTCATTATTAGGTCGCTCATTTAAAGCAGAAAGGATAGTATCAGCAATTTGACACTGATTATCATTTAATAATGATCTAACTCGGTTTGCTTTGTCAATAAAAACCTGAACATCTTCCTCCTCATTTTGTAGGACATAATCTAAAAACTCATCTTAAGTAGGAAGATTAGAATCAGCTAAAGTTTTACCATTCTGATTAATTATTGATTCAATTATACATTCTTACAATCACCTTATTGTTACTTCTTTGCCTAACTTTTCATATACAATGTTTGCTACCAAAAACAAGATGGTAAGGAATTTCAACATAAGGATGGTGTAAGGCTTGTTCATTTTAAGCATTTAATTTAAACCACGCAGTTAGATAAGTGTCATGCTTATGAAGTTCAGGATCAACAGTTGGGTTTGGAATTTCTGCTGATATCAAACTATCAATATCTTCTGCTATTTCTAGCTTATCAGCATTTGCAAAGTGCAATTAAATATGTACATGTGGCAAACCATATTTTTGAAACTCAATAACTTGCACATAACTTATAACTTTGCTTAAGACTCCATGCTTAAAAGTATCCTCTAATAGAGATTTAAGTTTAATTTTAAATAATCTATAAATTAAATCAGTTCTTTCATTAGCAGTTTGGCCCGGGTTTAAATTTTCTACTATTTCTCTCCATTTTGGATTGCAAGTAAAAGTAATGAATAGATCTGGTTACCATATTTCTTTATGATTGCCATCGCATCTATAAAGTTTTTTTTTAGTGCTCTTGGGCTAACAACATATGAAGAAGGCAATATAACAACACGGCCTGATTTTACATTAAGATCATTAGCATGGTTATTTACATGTTCATGCAATGTATCGTATTGTTCACTTCTAAGTTTGTTTTTGTTATTTCTAATAAAAGCAAGGCACTGTCCCTCAATTTTACATATGCATCAATGACATATTGTTGAAAAAGTTTAGTTACCATAGAATATAGGACTAAAAGTTTGTCTAATGGCAAGCATCTAATTATAATACTCAGACAAAGTAACATGGTTTCTAACACAAATTGCATGTTAAGGGTTGTGCTCCAGTTGATTGTGCTATCCTGCATCACCTTTCGGGAAAGATGTTGGATATATTATAGGATCTAAATTTGCAGACAAAGATGAAATTGTTCTTAAAGGCTTACCTAAAGGATATATAATAATTTCCCTTGATGCTGGTGGAGCACAATCACCTCCCACACATACACAATAGCAACCTCCTCATGGAAAGAAAGATTGTATTGGTATCTATCATTGTTGATAAAATGTCTTCAAGCAAAGACATTTTGACAACAGAAGTTGGTCTACCTTCTGAAGCTGCTTGGCGGATTTTTTCATCCTGTACTTCTGCCATGTTTTTAAATGCAAGAGCAAATGGGTTTTATTGATTAATTAAATTTGGCAAGAGTTGAATTAACTGAATTAAATTAAAATTAAAATGTATACAACCATCATTACCAGGTTGCTCCATTCTGAATGACACTGCTGCATTTGGATTATAGATCTGACAATATGTGGACAGTACACCTTCAGGCCTAAAATTTCCAACATGATGCAAAATTTGCCCACAGACCTTAAAACAGAAAGGGCCCTTACTTAATGGAGGAGCTATTTTTGTGGTGAAGGAGGCAAAAGATAATGAGGAATTATAACTCTATGTGTGTTTAAAAATTTTT